ATGCCTCATTGGAATTGTTAATAATGTGCCTATGTATGTGGCACTGGGCAAGTGAAGCTTGTCCTCATAGGACTACAATGTTAGTCATTATGTGATAATGGTACCCTCACAGTATTATAATGAAAATAACTTACTTGCCGTACTTAACATTCAGTACATCATACATACTTAACATACAGTACAGTACATCATTTATTATTATTATTATATTAGTAAAATGTCTTAAGTGACTAACTTGGTTCGTTAGTACATTTAAAGTACGGTTAGCAATCGCCAATTTAAGATACGTATGAAACTTTGTTTCTTGTAATTTATTAAAAAAATATTTATTATGTACTTCCTGATGTGATAAGAAATAAACAATGTCTATGAAATATACAATATACATAACCAGTACACATATTACTCATACATATCTAAATAGCTTGTGCTGCACCTTACCCAAGCAAACCATAACTATATATTTATTATTGATTAGCAGGCATAAATAATGCCAAAACCCTCTTCAAGGAGAGGCATAGGTCTCTCCTTAGAAAGGAGGTTTTGCTGCTGCTGCTTGACATAGAGCAGTGGTCTATTTGTAGGCTGTTGATGAAATTATGCACACATTCTAAAATATAATACATAATATTGGAGATAAAAAATGCTTAAAGTATCATACCTTTCCTAACAATTTATTCATTATTTTTATACATGTGGCACGTTAAACAGGTTTAGGCATAGGGTGCATATTATTATAATATAGCTTTCATAGCTTTATTTCTTAATTATACATACATTGTCCAATATGTGATTTTTCGTGATATCATTTGTGATTTATTGTTCGTGTTAAATGTTGCCATTATTAAAAACATATACGTTTTAAGTTAAACGCATCCTCCTATCAATTTAGATTGATTTATTGCTGGAGGAAGTCGATATCAGTACTTTGTTAAATATAACTAACCTAATATCAACCACTATTGTAAATAATTCATAGATTTTAACTCGTATTAATTGCGTAGCATTTTTTTGTTCATATTTTTGCTGTAATATCTACTGTGAATTTACATGTGCATGTTAAAACTAGCTATATTTCAAATAGATTGCATGTTTTTTTCAGTATTGAAATAATGTTCCTAACAAATATATTTGTAATCTTTTGGTGCAGATCTTTATAAGTTATATAGTTTTATTTAAAATATTATAATTTTCTTAAATCAAAATTGAGTTAAATCAAATTCAAAAGTCTATGAGGTTTAGAAATGCCAGAAAAATAAAAAATAAACATATCTAATTAAGAAATCCAAAATTTCTCATTACTTTTAAAGTCCAGAGAGTCATGTGCAAATTTGTTGAAATTTCAAAACTCATTTAAAATGAATGTATTTTATTATTTTTGTTGAATTTTATCAATCATTAGCAAAAAGATCCGATGGGTGAACTAGCACTAAAAAATTCAACATACTATTCGTGCCATTAAGTTTTTTAATCATAAAGCCTGATTGCACTCGGCTAATAACTATACTTGTATATCTCAAATAGGTTATTCCTACTTCACATGTATTTAGATAATAATCATTATTTAAGAAAAAATTATTACAAAGAAACAAAGTTTGATTAATGAAGTTTCATTCAAGCTATTCTGATTAAACTAAAGCCTAGATAAATTTGGTTTAAGCTTGTCCTAATTTTAATTATAAGAAAATTAAAAGAAGTACAAATTCAACGATGAAATGTAGAGAATCCCAGTTAATAGCAGTAAAGTTACTATTAAATCTCAAATTGTAATGACAGATAATGTTATTCTTCATTCCTATTCTTAATTATCTATTTAAGTTTCTACGCTTGGACAATATACTTAACTGTACTTTGTGGCTTTAATGTATTGCTATAAATCATGATGTTTTCTATTGTCTTTTATAAGAACGGTGTTTGTATTGTGTAGTGTTTATGAAAGAATTTGTAAAAAGAAACTCATTTTGCCCACATATTTTTATTTTTATACCTTATTCCTACATTAATTCTAATAAACACAATTACTTTACTTAATTGTAGTATAATAGAAAACTAATTTAATACAAGAATATAATAATTAAAATTACAAAAGGAAATACTAGTGTGTAATTACATTTTTTTTGGTTTAATTTAAGCTATTATTTTATATTTACATACCACCTTCACGTAACCTTTTCGTCGTAAAACGCATGGAGATAAGATAACATACTCATTAATATTTAAGGCATTTCTCTTAGGTTCTAAACAAGACTCGTAAGGCTGATGTCTGTGTTATACTTCCAGAACATTACGAGTATTAGAACAGAACTTTTTTTACAGCACTTAGAGGTCAATATGTAATCCAAAGCTCCCTAAGTGCTTTGTTTTCATCCTTCCGCTTTATTTCTATTATTTATTGGGTAAATATACATGTTAAGAAAACAAAACAAATTATTTAAAATATAAAAAAAAAATCTCATAGGAATCGGTTACAGGAACCAAATTACTGGTGGTTAGGGTTTCAGAGACAGAAACCTCATAATACGTGGGGTACCGAAAAGTACTGCTTTCTGCATCAGGCTCTTAATCCAGCTGCCCAAAGTGAGCCTCTCAAGATGTGAGGCGAGGCTCATAGCAATCAACCCACGTGCTGATAAGACTATCGGCACAATGATTGCTGATTCCACATCCCACACGTCGACAAGCTGCAGGCCAATCCAATTACTTTATTATGCCTTTACTTTCAGAGATTAAGAAATTGACTTCATGGGGAATGATGTCATGATGAAGCTTGGCGCTCTAATCGGTCTATCACCACTATATCAGGTTTATTGGCAACAATAGTCCTGTCAATGACAATAGAGCGATTCCAGTACAATGTTGAACGACCAGTCAAGAACTAGGTCTGACACGTTATATTTAAGACAGAAAGTCTCTAATGGACTATCCTATTTATACATGTGGTAACTCGCTAGGGTCGTCACCCCACCGGGGTTTGCGGCGTGGTGGTGAAACGGAATCGGACCGACTAAAACCACAGGGCGTACCACTCTGCGCCTGTAATAGGAGGGATCCGGGAACTGCTGTTATTAAGACATCCGGACCCTCATGGACTATCCTGGCCACTTCGTTATGTGAACACTTCGGGAAAAACTTGTTATTATATTTCTGATGGTTGCCCCAGGACAATGACATGCCTGGAAACTGAAAGTGCATAGAGTGGTATCAAGAGACTCCTTTATACAATCTATCCAACATATCTCCAGATCTGTTCGATTGGGGTGTACTTGTTGGTTAATAGTCGTAGTTGTCGTTATTATTTTTATAACGCTTGCGCGTGTGCGTTACCCCAGCAAAATAATGTCGAAAATGGTCATTTAAACGTTATAGATAATAATTAATTAACCTAAATAATTTTTAAACGGTCCATTATTTTTGTAATTTTATTGTCGAACAAATTAAAACTAATCCTTAAGAAGTTATGTACAAAAGATGGTTACAATCCGCTTACCCGTTTCAGAGATCCAGCAAACCCACAAACGTTACTCCAGCAGGATCTCGAATAACTTCGCAGCCGAAGAAAATACAAATACCAAATAAGTTTTAACATTTACCTAGTCCAGATAACTAATTATTTAGCTAACATTTATTTCAATATTACAATTAAAAAATAAAATGTCTGACTGCGGTAACGTTTCAAATGTTACCCCAGCAGGAAATGTTTTTTTGAAATAACAAAAAAAGTTTAAGTGAAACAAATTTAAAAATGTGCTTAACAATTACAGAAGGGGAGCAACTAATTATCTATAACGTTTAAATGACCATTTTCGACATTATTTTGCTGGGGTAACGCACACCGCTTGCGCGTTTGTTATGTAAGATATCTACTATACCTTTTTCTTGAGCCTATTTATTTTTATAATCTTTAATAGATACGACCGTAACTTATATATTTTGTTTAACAATTGACAAAAAATGTGACGTCATTGGCAGTTGTGTGCCGTTTGCAATGCATGCCGCAAGTATTTGATATACCTAGTGTTATTAGAGTAACTGAATGCTTGTATTAGTAATCAAAACATAGCACCTACAGGTTTAATTGTATCGGGACCTCTCGTAAGTGCTTTATTTTCATTCTGCCGGTTTATTTCTATCTTTAACTTTAGAATTCACAGAGATCTATACTACATTATGACGTTTAAATGCATCTCTTCCTAACTAGCAAGTGTTTTTTTACAACTTACATATTATGGAAGATTAACAATATGTGGGGAAAAAAATCAATAAATATTATAACGTAAATCTCTATCCATATTTGATGAGATTAACCATAAATGATGATGTCATGGATGATTCAATCTAAAATAAAGGTCCTGATTGACTGATGATTAGGTACTTCACACATTTTACACTTCTACCCAAATAACATACGCTAGGCACAATATTTTGTACAATATACGCTTTATGTTAAAATATAAAAGGACATAGCAAAATATACGTATAATATTCATAGTTCACGAATATATCAAGATCGCAAGAGACGACTGACAATTCTCAAAGGATTTCAGTTTCCTTTCCTAAAAATTAACTTCAAAAAATTGCTTTATTATCGTCCCTCGATTACATTCTATTGTGCCGGATAGAAGTTTTTTAAATAACATTTTATCACAGTTTTGAGGTATAATAAACCGTTACGTTGATGCTGAAGGGTGTTACGTTGTATGACATACGTGTACTTATAACTTCTGAGATTCGGTACTTTCTGCAGTACCATTATTCATTTTCATATTTTGTTACGTAACGCACTGATCGAGTAAAGTGTATTAGAACTCTTTTGGCCCTCTGAACAATTAGGGAGGCCTATTGTGAAACAGGACTAGTCAGCAGGACTAGCTGTATTTATTAGGGACTACTCGTATTACATTAAATCGAACTTTCCCAACGCAACGTCGAGTGTGATTAGCTATACATATATACAAATATTGCTACCTATATTAACATGACCTAATATGTTCAGTAGTTTATTACATTGAAATTAATGTTTCTGTAGCTTGTACCTCCCTATGACCTTGGTATTTCGTAAACTGTAGGAAAATCTGCTCAAGTGTGGTCTGTTTGATAGTGTAATCTTCAATTTCAAGTTCTCGCTTAGCTCGCTCCATAATACCAAACATTCGCGACCACGCTATGCTGCGGTCAGGCAAATAATATGTCAAAAAACCTTGGTACTCCTCCCTGAAATAACAAAAAATCCTTTGAAAAATGCCCAATATAATACAGAATTAACTAAAATTAACAGGATTATAATACGGAACTTACATTATTTTTGGATTACGGAAATTCAAGTTAACGTAATCTTTGACGACAGACGCTGAGGCTGATACGATACTACTTTGTCGAGTTAACGTGTTGGCTGATCTTTCAGCTTCATCAGTCTTTAACTTGATAGTTAGAGTGAAACCTGCAAAGTAAAAGTAAAATATACCTATTTACTATTACTGTACCTGTAAGAGTAATCAACAATCTTTTACTATTGTGTATAAACGCATCTCTGATTCTGTCTTTCCTCTACACCGGGACTGTAGCTGTGTTAGCGGTCAGTGGCCACAGCCTACTTGTTAACACTTACTGCTACTACGCATGGATGTTGCAAAGATTGTGGTGATCCAAAGCTAGTATTTGAAAAAAAGTTGTACACTCTTTTAAACAACGCAGACGACGACTAGCATCGGCCGGTATCTATGTCTATAGATACCGGCCGATGCGAGTTTAAAAGAGTCGACAAGGACGACTCAAGGGTGAAAGTGGAAGCGGATCCAACTCAGTCTACTGCTCAGCTTGCTGTGAGCTTTGGTCAAATCAACACTGAAGCACAAATCGGAATGATAAAAAACTGGATAAGTGGGTGCCACTCGAACTAAGCGACCATTAGCGAGATTTACCTACGCGTCGAAGCATGCATAGCACCATTGAATCGGCATAGAATCGAGGGAATTTCGAATCGAATTGTTATCTGCGATTAAAAGTTGATCCTGAAAGACCTGGTACAGCACCTAATTTTATTTTTATTTATTTTATTTTAAACTTAATGCACATACTGTACAAAGGCGGACTTAATGCCATTAGGCATTCTCTCCCAGTCAACCTTCAGGTGATGTAGAAATATGATGCGGTAGGTGCAAAATAAAATATGATATTAACATAATTTAGGTCCAGAAACATACACAATATAAAAACACACATGCATACATAAACCTACATAAATTTAATAAAATATATAAACACTCTGTCGGGAACTAGAGCTGTAACTATTTCGCCAATTCACCCCGAAGAAGATCGCGCACTTTTCTCTTGAATGCGAGGCGATTTGTTGACATCCTGATTTCGGCAGGGAGGGCATTCCAGAGGAGGACTGACTGGACGTAGAAGGAGGAGTTGTTGAATCAGTGCGTTAAAAAAAAGATTACCCATAGGAAGATGATGGTGACTATCTGGTGGACCAGTGCTGGACTTGTACATCGCAGCTTATTACCGAATGGCACAGTAACAGCAATATTACAATACAACAGTAACGGCAAATGTCTATTGCCAAGAATTGCAAACAATGATAAAGAAGCTCGCAATTCAAAAACCACGACTAGTCAATCGCTCTTCCCCATTGGTCGACACGACAACGTGCTAGCTCACACTTTGCAAAGCAAAGAGTTACAGCTGGAAGCTCTCCGTCATCCACCACACTCACCGTACCTTACCCCAACAGATTTCAACATTTTTCAATATTTAGTCAATTTTTAAGTGGGAAAAAATTCAACAGCCAAGAGGCAGTAGATTTCTACAGTAGAGTGATAAAGAAACTGCCATTAAAACGTCAAAATTGTATAGATAATTTGGGCCACTACTTTGATTAGCTAAAATAACCAAAATTGGTATACTTTAATTTTTTTATACAAATCGCCAACTTCATAGGTAAAGAAGTAATATTTATACAAAAAATAAACCTTCAGAAAACTTGTTCTTGAGATGCTGCGGCGTTCCGAGGCACTGGAAGCGACCGTTGACCATGATGGTGAGGCGCGAGCAGAGCGCCTCGCACTCCTCCATGCTGTGCGACGTCAGCACCACGCCGCGCCCCGCGCGCTGTACACCACGCACCGCGCGCCACACCTGCGCCGTGCGTTACATAGAGGATTCAACTCGGTATAGTCCCGAGTATAAACTTGAGACGCCCGATTTCTTTTTCTAACTAACTTAACACAAAATATTTCATCGGCTGTCTACGCGCCTCTGGGCCCTCAGCAGTTCGAAATAATTTGAAACCGAATTTAAGAATGTGTCTACACATCCTCCCTCATGGGTTACACTTGACTATCAATATGATAACTTGATTCTAATTTAAAGTTGTAATTTATAGTTTGTAGAAATAGAAGCCGAGGATCGAACCAAGTGGCGTGTACCTACTATACTGTACGTTATTTAATAAGCATAAACTATTATTATTGTTTACTACTTCACATCAACAGCCTCAAATTGTCCACTGCTTGACTTCTCTTTAGAAAAGAGGTTTATACTATAAAATAAACCTTACTACTACTACTAGACTACTTATACTACTTAGTTATAATTTATTTTATACCAACGTTTTAAAATGTTATTAATTCGTTTATATCGTGGTCGATGAAAAATGTTGTAATGTTGTAATTGTGTTAATGTCGTCGATGTCGTTGTAGTGGTTTGGTAATATAATACTTATATAATACTTATTTACTAGAAATTATCTATTTATTTACATACGTGTCGTTTCGCAGCAGGATCAACGCCAGTAGTGGGTTCATCTACGAACACGAGGCGCGTCTTTCCCAGGAAAGCCACAGCCGTATTTAACTTGCGCTTCGTACCGCCAGAATATTGGTGCACCTGATAATGTCAACATAAATCAAAATAAATAGGCAGGTATTACAAAATTTATACTATTTTTATTTAATTTACCTTTGAAGATTTGGTTTAAGTTCTAGGTTGGTGAAAATTTATCAGAATTAAATAATTTGTCATTACACAATTTAAAGCGTTAATACGCACCCTCTTATCTAGATGTTTATAAAATCCAAGCGAGTGTGCAAACACCTCAGAGATGTGCCAGATGGAGCTCATACGCAGGCCGCGCATTAGCCCAAACACGCGCAGGGTTTCGCGACCTGTCAGCTCGAGAAACAACGCGTCGAATTGCGGACAGTAACCTGTAACACACAAATAGACAAATGCTGTCAGGATTATTTTAACAATAAAAATTGAGTGAAAACCATTTTTATTTAGAATTCGGAAATCACCACCATCATCATCATCAAAATCATAAAGTGGGGATCGTTAGTTCAGTCAGGTGTTGTAAGGCAGTGTTGAGGTTAAGCATCTAATGAAAATGTACGAACTAGATATGTGTAAAAGGGTATTTTTATTGTAACTGAATATTAGCAAGCAACTGTAATTAATTTACTACAAATATTTTACTAACCGATATTTTGGTGCACTTTGTTAAGATTTCTCTGAACTGAATGTCCGCTTACAAAAGCTTCACCGCTTGATATAGCTTCATCACCCATTAGCATCTTGAAAGTACTTGTCTTGCCAGCTCCGTTCACACCCAATAGACCGAAGCATTCGCCGTCACTCACACCTTCAAATTAAGTATCAAAATCATCTATTTTAATTAAATCAAATAAGAATATTTGAATTGGTCGGGGTAATTAGCACACAGCGTGCGTGCTTCTCGAGATATAAGACAATTTGCTCTCCTCCGAACAAATTTTTGCGGTTTTGTATCAGGGTGTGCCTCAATATCTGTATTATATCTGCAGAACTTACTAAAGGAAATTTGATCCACAGCAAGATGTTTTCGGTAGTACTTCGACAGCCCTGTGGCGAGTAGTGCTTGGTTACTGTGATTTGACATATACACCTGACGCGCACGCTGTGCTTCGGCTGCAACGTCCTGATCAAGTGTCCTCTCGTCTATCAGTGGTGGTGTTTTCTTGAAATTCCATACCTGCCAATACCAACATAAGCCAAGTTAACCAAATTGACATTGCTGTAGCAACTTTCACATGCAACAAAAATATACTTCGCTACCACGTAACGAAGACACACCGAACAACAGAGTAATTACTAATTCTTGTGACGATTAGTATAAAATATACAACTTCACAATAACAACTATTGAGCCGCAAAACGCCGGGGTAGTCACATGGCCTAGTCAAGAAAGAGAAACATAACACCCGTTACTCTACATAGCTTTTGCCAGCGACATTTTACAACATTCATGACAACCGGTTGAGTAGAAGTGATAGCAAAGAAATAGGAAGTATGACATACTTCCTATTTTACGGATGCCTTTTAACTTTCGTGTGTTAAATACCTTTTGTACGAGCCTGTATTCTATAATCATGAGGATGATCCAGAATACGATGCACATGCAAATCATAGCCACAAGGTAACGCAGCACACCCGGCTCCTCCCATAAGAAGAATGGATTTTTCTGAACTGCAATAGAAACAATTATTATTTAATTATAATATTTGTTCTACATATCGTTTAGTATCTCTAAACAAAGATTTCGGAGCTCTTGAAAATGCAGTTATTGTAACAAATGTAATGTACTAAAAAGATAAGTTCACATAAATTACGATATCGACAGTAAAATTAAGAAAACCACGAGAATATAACTAATAATAATAACTCTACCACATTCACATACATAACTCCATCTAGTCCCTAACTAAGCAGAGCCTGTACTATGGGACTAGATAACTGATTTAATACATGTATACTTTTTTTGTAAATACATACATATTATACACAGAAACACACAGTCTAAATCAAACATTGCACACAAATGTTTGACTTAAGCGGGATCGAACCCGCGACCTTTGGAATAGCAGTCCGTTACACAAACCACTACGCCATCCGGTCGTCTTTATTTTTTTTTATATATAGACATGGTCTAATTTTTTGCTAACATTAGGTATTTAGATATGCCTAACGTAAGGAAAAAAAATTATAGGTTTATACTGGAAAAATTATGGTTGTTGTCAAACAGTTACAGTGTTAAATTACAGTCACACACTTAACTCATAAAAATAAAATGTTTCTTATGAATTCATTATATTACTTTACATCTCCTTTACACCACTTTACGTATACATCCATGTTGTTTATAAACTTTCAGTCACCATGATGCTTCACTGACACACCCCAGGTAATTTACATAATTAAACACTAATTGTATGCTGTTTAAAAAAATAACGTAACTAAGTTGAACTTATTTCGACGCGATTTCAAAAAATGATTGTGCGAAAAATAACTTTTGGTACATAAAGAATTTTAAAGCCAGGAAGGTTATGGATGAACTATAAAACATTACCGCAACAGTCGTCTTGTCGCTCACACAGAGACTCCATGGTACATTCGAAATTAGGCAACACAGCTTGCAAGTACTCGCACATTTGAAGGCAAGTATGCACACGAAGACCGATCTGATTCAAATATCTATAATAAAAAACAAAACACAATTTGAGAATTGAGAAAATTTTACCAAAATCTTTTCCAAATATTTTCACCAACTCAAATCACGAAACGAAAGTAACGAAATTAAAATATTTCTCTAATGTATAAGTTTAACATGTTTTATATAATTTGTTCAACCTTTCAATATTTTTAATGGAATAGGTACCCGAGATACTGCTATGTAGGTAAAATATAGTTAAACTAGGCAAGTACTATTATACTTAGCTACCTATGATCGAGATCGTTTTTGTGACAACCCTTGCACATTTTTAGTCGAGACAGTCTTATAGTTATTTAGCGGTCTATCAAAGGAGTGTTGTCACTATTGGTATGTAACATGTACTGGTACCTAAAAACCACTGGAATAGAAGACTGCTAATGTAGTCTAACAGTAGTGTTATAGATTATTTTTAATTAATTAAAAAAGAATTACTCTTACTCTTACACATAAGCTTGTCTCTCCTTATAAGAGTTTTTACTTACCGAAGAGCAGTAATGAAGCTATATAGCGGAAATATTTGGAGTACCGAGTCGAAGACCTCCGCGATGTATTTGGTGTCGACTACTGGTGACATTAGCGACTCCACTATTTGGGCGCCCATCATACCTGGTACACGTAATATTCATGTTAATAAATAATTGCTTTGAATTACGAATCTACCCATTTTTATATACATACCATACACTCCTTTACGAGTTTATGGTATGTATATAAAGAAGGGAGTCGTGCTATACCACAGAGCCAGCCTAATAAATACCGATCAATTATATCTTTAAATAATATACGTCAAACGTTCATAATTTACCTAAGGGCAGTATCGCTGTACGTACACTAGGTAACAAAATAATGAGCTGCCCTACTGAAAACACGTACTCAGGACAGATAAAAGCTGTTTTTTTTATGAAAACTGTGTTATTGCATACGTGTTTTACATATCATTAACATTAAGTATTTACTGTATGATGTAACCTTCTCTTTCGCTTCGAATTACAATGCACCTTATTAAGTAAATTATGCTTGCCAGCGTTTGAATGAATGCGAAGATGGGAATTGACTACAGTGTCATTCTTGATTCGAACAGCCGTACGGGGCATATCGTCGTCACAATGGGAGATTCAGAGTTAAGATGCTGACAGTGTCTTATAATGATCTAGGTGCACCGCCGAACGCTGGCGGGCTTAATTTATGTATATGTCACCGGAGAATTGTAAATCATCATCATCATCAACAGCCTTTAATAGTCCACTGCTGGACATAAGCCTCTCCTTAGAAAGGAGGTTTTGGCCTACTATACCAAGCTGGCCAGACGGGTTGCTATAGGGTTTGTGTCAAGTTTCCCTTCTTTTTGCAGTGCTGGTGTCCGGCGTTGTTTTGCGCCCTTAGTCGGCTCTTACGACACCCACGGGATGAATCGGGGTAGTGACATTCCGTATTCTTAATCCGTCACTACACGGAATTGTAAATACAATTGGATTATAATCTATCTCGCAAAAAGATTATTAACAGTAACATACCGCTTACAATTTAACGCATTATTTATCTGTAGATTATAATCTATCAAAGTATCTGTTAAACCAAGATCTGTTTAAATATAAATAAGGTTTTAATATAAATAAATAGGTTGTTTTTAACCGTAATGAGAAGAAAATAAAAAGTTTTGAAGTTTCGCTTAAACTGCGACAATAAATATATTTTGTTCTAAATTATGTTTTTAGTTAAATTCAATAGTAGATCATTAAAAAGAATGCTAGCACAAAATATCAAAGCGTTTTCTATGAAAATAACAGTAAAGGAAATGCGGTTTAAGTATAAACAGCGCCCTTTTTTTCTTTTTTTTTTCCGTGCGGAAATCCCCTCGGATACCATCTGTCGGTGGCATGTCGGACTCGAACCGACTAAAACCGCACGCCGTCTCGGGTACTAATAGAGGCAAGCATCCAAAGTTTAGTTTTTATTTCTTTACTAAAACTTTTTTTTTTTTAGCTTTTATCAAGACCTCTTGGCCTTTCATTTTTTTGGTGATAGATGGTCTCACTTCACTTCCAAGCCTGCAATTATGCAGGATGGGAGCCATTCACCTCCGCCGCCTGAGCCGCCTGCAGTATCTGCCAGGTAGTTCTATGCTTCTTCAGGTCCTGCTCCACCCTCTTTTTCTGGAAAATAACTTTCTGTCATTAGGTGGCGGAATTCCACGCGCCACCGCTCCATACCATGGCCGCAATTATGGTGCGTAGCTAGAGAATCCTCACTCTGATGGCCGTTATGAGGGCACGCCTCTGCTCCACCCACGCCACGCCGGGCATTCTACCAGCGTGTGGTGTTTCTTCTCGAGCCAATCCTCCATAACGGGTTTTACCGCCGCTATAATGGCGTGCCTGGCGCTTGGTTGCCAAAGTCTTTTCCTAGACTTCTCCATGAGGGCCTGGCAGAGTTGGAATTTCCGATCCTTGATCCCGACCTCATCCAGGGCTCGATGTTGATGGTAGTGCAGTAGAAGAGACTGGATCCCTCAGATGGCGCCCTCTGAGTCTCATGAAAGATTAGATTTGTGAAGAGACATTTCGAGCCCCAGCCGCTGAATCCTAACGAGCCACGATATTCCACAAGAGCGGCCTTAACACCGACCCTGCGTTTACCCGACATTTCACGCCGACTGAGACAGGTCCTACTTGGGTAGATGACGGCGCCGGGCCTCTCCTAGCGCCTGTTCTATAAAAGCGTTAGTTGGCATAAACTCTAACTTAGAAGGCATAAACTCTAACTTAGAAGACATCCGCTACACTACAGCGACACACGCCATCCTTCACTACAGCTGTAGTTGTAGCAACTGCATTTTTGTGTATAATACACGCACTTGCCTCAATCTTCGTCTTTGTCTATCAGAAAATAAAGAAAGGAAGTGGTGGCAATTACGTAATATAAATCCTAGATGTCAACCTTACTTACCTACAACCTTACCTTACTTTTAAGATATAATTGATCGGTATTTATAAGGGTGGCTCTGCATCGGAATACAACACAATAAAAGAGTTAAGAAAGATATTTACCAAGCACCACATTCAAGAAGAAGCAGGATACGAAGCCAATGGCGGGTCTGTTGAATACGTGCGACAGGATATAAGTCAGCGGCAACATCGCCGCCCCATACACCATCACACACACGTACAGCCGACCTTTTGGGAGATTGTTATAGTTACAAAGCATATTAAATAACGTTCAGATAGCCAATTATCTATTTTAGGCTTCCTAATGGTATTTTGAATCAAATTACAACCCAGTCCTTAAAAACAACGAATTAGTTTTCTCACCCAGTTCAGCAGCAGTAGAGAATCCAACAACCCCAAAAGCAACACAAGAAACAACTATACTAATGCAGATGATAAGGAACCAAATCCAGTCAAAAACTGCGGCGCTACCCCACAAGATTAATGGTTGAACGCCAGCAGCCTTCTGGAGCAGCTTTGCGCCAGATATGCGTTCCTGCGAAACATTCAAAAGTCACAAATATTTAATATACCATTACTTTTCAAGGATTCAGAAATTTTCCTGTAATAATTACATCGCCTTGAAGAAATCTATGAATTAGGGGTAGTAGATTAAAAGGAGCGACTTTACTAAGCGAAAGAAGTTAGTGGGATGTTAAAGCTTTTTTAGAAACTGAGACCTCTTTTTTAAATTTATTTGTGAAGAAAGGATCTATGTACTTGTATCTTACCTTGATATAAAACATGATATACACTGCGCTCACAATAGCAATACTGCTACCGATACCAGAAGAAAGCTGCATGGATATCATGCTGATCATCAATCGCATATCTGTCTGTAGATAGAAAGATTTGGTTAAATGTCGCATGCAGAATCTAAATACTATAATTAACTTTTCGAAAATAGACCTTATGTCAATGCTCCTAAATCATTATAAATTGTATACATTGTATTCTAAATCCATATTTTTTAAATTTAAATAGGACTATTCCAGCCAAACTTTAAAGAAAAAAAAACTTAGTTTAAAAAAAACTTATTACTTCGGCAAAGACAGACACATATTGCGTAAAAAACACGTACAAAACAGTCGAATTGAAAGGTATTGTTGAAGTCAATTTAATAATTAACAACTGAACAACTAACAACGGAATAGGAATATTAAAGTAAATTTTATGTATTTAGGTAAATTGACAATCTGATATTTATTTTAATATCAAATCCTGCGTCCTATTTACATAAACTTTAAGTGCATACTTGAAAATTTTAGGGTTCATAAAAAATATGTACTAACTTTCAGAATTACAAAATAGCCCAATTGATAATTATAATGCCATAGACAGTCCTTTGCTGGAGGGAATAAAAAAAAGTTAAATTTTATGCTGAAATAATGATAAAAATTTATAGAACACTAAACCAATCGTTACCTGGTCTGAATAACTGGCTTCCAAGGGGTGGTTAGATACAATAAGAGAGGCATTTGGGTTCCACATTTTAAGAAGAGCTGTATGCACCGCGGCAAGTGACATCGCCACATCATGGTGTCCGAAGTTGCTGAACCAGGCAGTTGCAGAATCGTCGGTAAAAGTAGAACCAATTAGCAGTTGGTTGCGCAAAGTACCCATGTCTACGGGATCCCATGTCTAGAAGTAAAATATAGGTAACTAGTCAATATTTCAATTTGCCTAACGCTTTTACTGTCTGCAGTTTAAAGATGTGATCTAATTATAAAAATCGGCGTGAGGGGTCTATGGACCCGCGGTGGGAACGAAGTTTCGCTTTTAGGTAGACTTTTACTACAGTGTTAGAAAAAGTCTTGTTACACATTTTTCGGTCTCGCTCCCATTCGGTCAGAGAGTGTAACGCGCGATAAGGAACTTCGTTTCAAAAGGAAACATATTATTATGATTGTACTTACACAAAATTGTTTACTTCTAAAAATTAGGGTAACATTGTTTACACCTAAACATTCAATGTGAACCTACCTGTTATTTATTTATTTATACTTTATGCACAAACGTGACAAAGGCGGACTTAATGCCGTAGGCATTTTCTACCAGTCAACCTTAGGGCGATACAGAGATAAAACATGGTAGATGCACAGAAATGTGATTTTATGAAAAATATAGCATAACTAGCTAACCCGGCAAACGCTGTTTTGCCATATATACATGATTTCAAAAAAAATTGTCAAAAATAAATTGGGGTATGAAAAATAGAGGTTGACCAATTCTCAGACCTTCCCTATATGTGCACAAAATTTCACGAAAATTGATCGAGCCGTATCGGAGGAGTTCAACCACGCACACCGTGACACGAGAATTTTATATGTTATGTTGTTTGTCAATTGTACATTCACATAATACATACATATAATATATATATATATGTATATATATATATATACACATACATATATACCCACAAAATAAATTCTAGAGGAAAGAGTAGAAAATTAAGGTAGATTTGATAAGGAGTTTAATAAATGTTTTCGCAACTGGTATTTAAAAGTTTGCCGAGTTTTGCCAACCTGATCTCGAGAGGGAGCGCGTTCCTTAACAGAACAGATTGAACCAGGAAAGTAGAATGTACGAAGTCAGAGCGGTGAGTGGGACAGTGAAGAAGTAGGTTGCTTGAAGATCTAAGGCTTTTAGCGTGGTTTGCACCTAAATATTGAAGTTAAGTAGGAGGGAGAACTTGGAGAAAAGAGTAAATAATATAGGGTAGTTAATGCTCGTGTCTCTTTGCGTTGGCGAATTGGAAGCCACTCCAAAAGAGAGCGATGCTGAGACACGTGATCATATTTGCGTAAATTGAAATCGAATCGAGCAATTATTGAGAAGGCGGTCAAGCTTATTGACTAGATCTGCATTCAGGTCAAAGTACTAAAAAAAACCTTTTTACTTACTAGGCGCAATGTTTTCATGATGTAAATGTGGCTATTTAATACTTACTCTATTCAAATAGTATACATCCATAGGTTGTTCACCAATGTTAGTGATTGCCATATCATCTCTGTCATAGGCTTCAAACATTTTTTGGTAAGCTGCAGCAGCGAGTGCGCCCAGTCCTGACGCTGATGTGCCATTATAACTCAGCAATGTTTCTGTTTTCACAAATCTGTATTTTCAAAGAATTAACTATCATTGTCTTCAAGCAGAGCTTGTACTATCAAAGCTAGATTGACTGATAGAATACTTTATACTTTTTTTTGTTGTAAATACATACATATTATACATAGGAAACACTCAAATTCCGAAACAAATATTTGCAGATACAGCACCCGAGCTACCATACCATACCATACGAGCCCATACGCTACCACTGCACCACCGAGGCAGACAAACAGTGTTTCAGTGAATATAACTACACAAGTCGATGTGTAACGTAAATCTGGCTAATTCCTCTGCATATAACACATAAATTAGATAACCTACATTCATTTGTTTACCTCAAATACCTCCCTTAGAATTAATTAATTCTTATTGTAACTTAATTTTTATATTTATGTATTCATTTTTGTTTATTTAAGACGATGGGTTAGGTACTTTAAACTACTTGATGTGGATATTTTAGGTAGTTGTACTAATTGTTGTAGGATAGTGTTGTTGTGGATAGTAGGCACTAGTTTGTGCTAAGTGGTTCTAGTGTCATTTGTCAATTCTTATGAAACTGCTTTTAGAGTTCAGAGTTCGTACTTTATACATTATGAATACTCAAAAAAAAATGGACATCGTAATTTTGATTATTTTGATGGCTGTGTGCAGCATTCAAATGCGAGAGCAAACACAAATACAGTTATCATTTCAAAGTTAAATTAAAATAATAGGTATTGAAATTCAATTATTTGTAAACAAACAAACAAACAGTGATGTATTGCTACATACCCATCAGTGAGAGACAAAATTCTATTTTGTATAGTAGCCGTCCTCGACATTACGTATTGCAGCACGCCCAGTGTGGCATTGATGAGAACGATGGGTGCCGCAAATTGTAGAATCAGGAGCCAATACGAGCGTGACCACACCAGCAACAGTTTGAGCCACACCGCTAAAACGCGCTGTCCGAGGAGAGTGAATCCAGTCACTGAACTATCGTGCTTGTCCACTGTTAAACAAGTAAATAACATTTATTTCTTAAGACTTAAACTTAATGAAAACTTAAGAATTTCATAAAATGAATATCTAAAATATTCCCCGAAAATCCAAAACTGACTAGGTGAATAACATGAAGAACTTAAACTTTTATTATTAGTAGATATTTTGTGTAGTAAGCAAGTAAGTATTGTTTAATAGCTCAAAAAAATGTGGAAGTAATCCAAAAATTTACTCCATTGCCTTGGGATTCTATTAACGAATTTAAATAGTTGATATTATTGCTTTTCACACAACCTTAAATAAATCCAGAACTGAATTTTTCAATAATATTGGTCATACTCACACTGTTCTAAAGACGAATCAATTTCATTTCTAGACACATCGTCAGTGGTAGAATCCGTTATAGTGGTAGCAGCGTCATCGGAATCCGAATTTGAGTTAACGAGTGCCAAGTCTGCTCCAACACTAGAAGTAATATACATTCGTTACTCTATGGAGTAAATGTTGTGCATTCGACTGAGATGTCACAGGCTGCAAATCCTATTCTAGACCACAACCTACCTATTAAAACTGGTCTAAAAACGAATCCAGGCGTTTAAATTATATGTAGATAAGTATCGAATTACGTAAATGTCAATTTTGAGGAATTCGATTACTTTTTTTTCTTGCTTACTTTTATATACAAGAATTCCCGCACTAGGAATATATCGTGTGTCACGGGGAAGTTTACAAATATATATACATATAACGGACAAAAGGAACATCCAGATCATGTAAAACAATTGGTGGATAACACAAAGTATTGTCTTATGGAACCCATAACACTCTGCGCAGTAGGAAGCAGCGAGGTGACCGCTTACACTACTAAGCCGTCCTACTACTACTAGTCATTACTACATTGGACGAAAAGTTATTGTGGAATAAAGGGTTATGAACTTTAAATTTAAAATTTAATAAGTACTTAAATAATTTGATACTTACGACATGAAAACATCTTCAAGCGTTGTCGCAATTAAGCCGTAATTTTTATACTTAATGATTCTCGCATTCCTTTCCAAATCGTTCAACATGTCTTCAAACTTGTGTGAAAGATCATTTAGTAAACTATACGTGATCTCAGATCCTGGATAGCACAAAAATGACAAATATGTGTATCTTATTTTAATGTACTAAGTTTTGATATATACATATGTATATGAAACTACACACTACTACACTACTAACTACACACAAGATTAAATTATAAGATAACTATGAAGGATATAATTTTGAATTCATGATCAATCGTTTTTTTTTTGGGTTTAGGGCTTCATTTTCAAAAAATTATATACCAGCTTTATTCTTCAGCAAGGCAATGTTTTTTACAATAAATATTTGGAGACCACCACATTCCTCTCAGGTTTAATTACTCACCACGATCTTCCTTGACAATTGTGCCAGGAATGTAATCATTTATAAGTTCGGTGCATTTATTTTGATCAAAGTCATCGTCCTTCACAACGACAAGTGTGTATCCCACTCCGTAGTGACGTTTAAGGAAATACGGGGAACCCACACATTGTAGTTTACCGTGCGCCATTATCGCCACTCGGTCACCCAGAATGTCCGCCTCGTCCATAAAATGTGTTGTTAAGATCATTGACCGTCCTACAGAAATAAATACATGACATAAGTCATTTTATGCCAAAACCTCGTTTCTAAGGAGAGGCATAGAGATATATAATCATCTGCTCAGCATCTGCATCAGCTGTTGATGATGATGATTCTAATTAATTTTCTTTTCTTTTAAAAAATCATTTTAATTTATATACTTTCGACTTTAAACATACCTAAATTCTTTAGATTTCTTTTCCATCTCTTTTTTTTCAATTTACCAAAAACATTAGTAAGGACTAACCTATTAACAAGTTACAGTACATAATAGTAATAAGTTACAGTAATAAGATCATCCGTAGTAAGTAAATAGATTACCCTTTTTCTCCCTTTGTAATAAGTCCCATAGACCGCGTCTAGAGGCAGGATCCATGCCAGAAGTTGGTTCGTCGAGTAGAACCACCTTTGCTCCACCACTTAGAGCAATACCAACACATAAACGACGTTTCTGACCACCAGATAATGCTTTTGATCGGCAATCGCGCTACAAATAAAAGAAAATCTGTATTTATTCATATATATTTATATTAAATTAAAGTCATGGATCCACTTCTGTAATCAGTAATCATATTTTTTTTTCATTCCGTTATCAATAAATATCATCAGTATGTAAAGATTACACATTTTTACATTGTTTAAAATTAAGTCGCTTATTTTTCTTTTTTTTTTTTTTTTTTTTTTTAAATTCTAGGATTTTCTCTACAATACTTGCATATTATTGTAGAGAAAATCCTAGAATTTCAAAGATTTGTCGTAAAATCATGTTTTGTGCGCTTACATTGCAAACGATGGCTAAAACTTACTAGATAGTTCAAAATAATGTTCTACGGAATTGTATATCTTAAAACGATCTACCAGAAAATCCATGATGGTATATGTCTATCTCCTAAGGATAAACTACAGCAACCGTTTTTATCTTTTAACTTTTTACAAAATGTAATGGGTAGTTTACTAAGTTATTTTGAACAATAAGCAGAGAGTATTATTCCTTATTCAAATAATATATCATTAAAGTAAATGTCTTAGTAGATATCAGAGATTTAAAATGAGGGGGCAACGCGGCTATCGCCGCGTCGTGCCACCGAACGGAGTATAGTCAAATCTTAATAATAGTATAATTAATTACTCCATAGTGACATCACATTATTAGTATTAATAGTATCTACATTGCAGCCGTGCGAAGCCGGGGTGGATCGCTAGTTAATAAATAAATTAGCTATTATCAAGCGTTTTGGCACTTTACATAAAATGCAGTTTTGGTGCAACCATTAATTTGTGAACATTAAAGTTATAAAATACCTAAAAATGTTAAGCCACTTAAAATTCAGTGTGTTATTTTGTCATCTTAATATTAAGAAATAGCTATGGTCACAAACCTTTTCCTGAAGTTCCAATTTTTCAATAAGTGTTTCCACGTCTTTTGTTAAATTGGCACCAGTAAAACCTTTTAATCTTGCGAAAAATTCAAGATGTTCCCTGACTGTTAAGTCGTGGAAAATTACATTGTGTTGTGGACATAATCCTATATGGGAACGAGCAGCTTCAGTTTGTGTAGACATATCATAACCAGCCACCTCCACTATTCCGTGCGATGCTTCAAGATTACCTGAGCCGAAAAGATACTTATAGTAAAAGAAATTATTACCATTAGCACTTAGCACTAATTAAAAGGACTACAAGGGCTCTGTATATCGCATTAGAATAGAAGTGAAAGTAAATACTGTGCTGGTCGGATGCGAATAGAAGACTAACGACATCCATCCTAAGCTTTAACTGTCTTTCTTCTCCTTCTGCTGTTATTATTTTCTATTCATGACATAAATTAACATTAACTCAAAGTTGGTAAACTTTATAGTTAGCCTAACAAAAGTTATGAGTAGGAGTTTATTTACTAGCGCGCGCATAATACATTAAAGTTATCAGTTTAAGTTATATATTCGTTTACAAACCTGTCAGCATAGAAATAGTGGTAGACTTCCCAGCTCCGTTGTGTCCCAAAAGTACTGTTATTTGATCGTCGAAAATGTTCAAAGATAAATGGTTAACAGCAATTTGATTACCGTAGACTTTAGTCAAATTCTGCAAAACAAATTGTACTGTAACAAGCTACAACTAAAACGAATTCAATATATAGCCTAGAATATATAGACTTCAATATATAGCCTATGTATTCAGAGTGTAACAATATTAGCCTGACACACTTATTACTTAAATGCATTACTGCGTTTTCGACTTACTTGCATTTTTACTCCAATACTATGGCGCTTAGGATCTTTTTCTTTAATAATATCGTCATCGTAGTTCTTAGCATTGCTCAAAATAATGTCAGTTGCTGTAAACAAATACATAAAATGTTAATAATAACATACTTTGAACAACAATGGAAAGAAAGCGGCAATCTGGATTCTATTTTATTATATACGATATCTTTAAATTAAGGTTTAAAAGAAAAAAAAACTTATGCCGCTGGGAAAGGAAAAAATTGTGCAGAAGCCGTTTTTTCGTAGTATTTAACTTTTCAGCACTTATTGTTAAAAAAGTTTAGTTTATTGCGCCATATTTATTTAAAAATAAATGCAAAGAGTTTTCTTCACGGGTATGTTGTTTGTTTACTCGTAATATCAAGTAAATCTAAGTTGATTTTTAATAGATAACTGTAATATTTTATTTACACATAAAGGATTAAATTAATTTTATGATTTATTTTATGTATACAACTGAAATGCATACTAGCAGATTCTATGCTATTGTAAAAAATATTTGAGAAAATATAATCACCAGATTTACCACCGGGACACCAGAACCGTGCTTGCAAGGGGAAGTACCATGGACGAGGTGAACCAAATGGCCCTGGGGCCACCTGTTCAAGGTACAGAGTAATCAACATATAGAGCACGCAGTTTGCTACCAACATGATCACCACGTGACCAAAAACAAATTCTGTGCTCTCCGTAGCAGGTGACGCCATGAAATCGCTCCAGTGCATTCCTAATTGAAATAATCAAGTGGTAGTTATTATGTAAAAAAGAGTCGGTAGGAAAATATTTCACTTTAAAAAAAAAACTTTATTTCTCTTCTAACGTTTTGCAATTTATAAGTCTATTCACAATTATCTTCCCAAGTTGACCTTACCAACCAGCTAGACAATTAAATAAATCTAACGACCTTACAACAATTATTTTGTGTGTCACTTTTATATTATCGAAATTTTTATTAAGCTTAATTGAATGATTCTGCTATTACTATTACATTAATAATAATGTTTGAGTAACCATGACTCCAGAAATAAAAAGTATTTTCTCGGAACAATAGACTTCCATCTTCTAACTTAATGAGAAATTTCATATAAGATCATTCTTATCTCGAAAGCGTAGACCACCCAAGGTGAATAAATATTATTGACTTCGTAAAGCCTAGACAAATATCTAATTTAGTAGCTGTCATTTATTTAAATAGGTTCAGTCCTATGTGGGAAAATCGAGATAGCTGAAAATCTTTGATAACATGTGTTAGTTCTCTTTTGTATCAAATATGTTTCACTTTTGTAATTGTGCCACATTCGCTTGGCAAAATTTAGTCTCCCACGCTTCTGTATAACGGTCGCTGAGTACCCCTACTAGTTAGTTTAGTTCCACTCTCGTGTCACGAAGCCTAAGGCGATATGATATTTGATACGTAGTTCAATTAATATGATGAAACAGTTGACCCTTGCTTCATCTGAATACCTTCTTCATATAGAGAATACAATCCCTGTACAGTATACTGTTCGGCAGTATAGGAATGTTGCTAGAGCTGTAGTTGGGTTTCTACATACATATGTTTCTGAAGTGAAAACAAAACAAAAAAATGTATTTAATGGTTTAACAAAAAAACACATTATTTGAGATGGAAAAAAACGATTGAACTCGTGACACTGCTACCGTTAACGTTACCTATACCTCTGTTGAAGAGAAAACTTCTATAGGCGCGTTATGCATTTTTTGAGATGAGAAAAAACAATTCAACTCGCGACACTGTTACCGTCCCCGACACCTCTATATAAGTAAATAAGTTTTCACTTCTGTCGGTACTCCCGGAGTGCAACTGTTTTTTTTTATGGCATGCAAACGAGCACACGGGTCACCTCATGGTAAGTGACTTCGGTCGCCCATGGAAACCTGCTACTCAACAGTCACATGAATGCTTGTAAAGTCCTACGCGACATAAAATATATTCCTAGTGCGGGAGTTCTTTTTATAAAACAATAAAAGAAAGAAAAAATCTTAAATACTAGACTAGATTAAATATTAGACACTACAGCTAACGAGAGCTTAATAAAGATCGAGGTCACTGGGTGACCTAAAGACGCTATTACATTAGAGACGATCCAGTCGGCGTAGGAGTACATTATGCATTCAGTAGTACGATGACGTGTATGTATGGAGTCGAGACCTCGGGTTTTCTTATCCGACTTACATAAATGTATAATTTAAAAAAAACATACAAATAAAACCAAAAACTTAAATTTGTGTGTGCGTAACCTTGAAACCAGTGCCGTCTTAATTTATAGTTACTTTGATTTATTGAAGTAATTATTTATAACAGAGCCGGCATCAGACCGTGGATGACGTTTACTGCGTATATCGTATATCAATTGTCGTTTTGGGTTGTTTATCTAGATTGTTTGTAGAAATTGTAGAAAACTATAATCCCTGAGGTTGTAATTATATCCGATATATGACATTGACATGGCCACTAATCTAATGACATGACATCTAGCTTTACATAATGAAACAGAAACAGCATACAGCTCCTGTTGAGACACACGACGTGAAACTTTTTATGTATTGGCTACTTATTAATATTAAGCTATTTATTATCATTGTAATAGTAATAACAGTCTACATTTAAAGTACCTGATGCTTTCAATGATTCTTTGATTTTAGATTATAGTTCAATATTGACTCTCACCTCCTAAACTTTCCCTGGCAAGCATCAACTGAAAGCCAAACGACATTGCGGTATTGATGCTTAGACAGCTTAAGATTTGCCCCGTAGTAGACATTTGGATATCCATACTTAACAAGAAGGCTGGAATATACGTCAGAAACCAGAAAATGCCTGTAAACAATGCTGCTGAACTACCTACAACAAAAAATAATATTAGCTATGTAATTACAGTTATCAATGACTCCTATGTATACAGTTATTTGAAAACCCATCTTCGCCACGTATCACCCGAAGAGTATATTTATTTAAATCGTTACAGACGTAATTAAACCTTGATTTTAGTAAACTAGTACATATGTACATCCGCTAATATTATATGGCATGAATAAGACGAATGAGTTCAAATTTTTTAAACATGACAGCAACAAAATAAATGTTCAAATTGAAAGTTGAAGGCATTTTAGCGAAAAGAAAAATAGGAAAACGTAATACATAAAAAATCGATTAAAATAGTATTAAATACAACTGTGTATGCATGGTGAACTGACAAAAAAATACTTTTTATTTCGTAGCAGTGCGTTCGAATGACGCTTTATTTTCGGTAATTCCGATCGGTTTTCCAATTACCAATGTTTAAATCGGGGAATCTTTACTAGATTCAAATCACCTCAGACACTATGTTTTTTATATGGAATTAATTATTAACTTGATTATTTTTTTATAAACACGTTATTTACATTTTTTTATAATAAGTATTATTTTATGACAGAGTTGACTTTATCACACACATTACAATTTAATTGTACCTAATGGTATTCTAATCATCAATTTTAGTTGGTGTTAAAATAAAGTAGAATATCTCATACCGGCCCTGTAACCATGAAAACAAATTTTTTGACAGTAATTACTAAGCAGTTTATTCTTCGTATACATCAGAAGTCATTGATCGAAATACATGTTATTTATATACATATAAGAAAGTAGCATACCTTTCGAAAACAACCCGCTTATCATGAAGCAGAAAAATATCATGCAAGATAAATAGAGTGTCAAATAAAAGAACAGAACAGTCCATGGCGTATTAGTAAATACAGCATATTCATTGAAGCCGTCTTCGTTAGTAAACCAATTCACCTAAAAATAAACAAAGCAAATATCTGCTATCGTAAAAACAACTTTACAAAACTTTGATTTAGTTACTACAGTGTTATTAAATATAAAAATATAACCTACTGTAAGATAAAATTACAATTTATACTCTGAATAATTAGTTGGTTACGTGGAAGTAGAGTCGAGACTATTAAATCTGTTTATAGCTCGATTGCCAGTGCAAAATCCCTATATATATGCCGTTACCGCCTTTACATTTTCAAAGGAACCCTGACGATTAGCGTCTGAAACCCGCCATTCTTCATGGTGATTAATATATTTTTGTGAACATTGACTAAATACATATATGTTGAATTGTTAATTTTATGTGTCTCATTTCAGCCTTAATGAAGAATAGGGATTCCGAAGAATATAAACAAGCTTTGTAAAGATTTTATCTTGGACGATATTTGAATAGGTACATAGCTATTATAGAGGTACTTATTTATTTTTGATGATTTTGACTATCAATCACATTTGGAATATGCGATATCATTAATTAGACAATACATAGACTCACCTTTAAAAGTATTGTAATGAGCACAGCACTAACTAGTTGAAAAAGAAATTGCTTGCAGAACCACGCTGTCCAGTGCAACCACGTGGGAAGACCCATTATTTTCATAGTTTCCTAAAATATTGACACAGATTTTAATTTACTTGCCTTAGAGGAGAACCTACTACTACTTCGCATAAAATTATCTAAATATTTTTAAATTATTTAAACTAAAATCTTTAAGTGTTGTACTTTGTTATAATTACATATTATCTGGATATTATCATATTAACGTATCATATATTATTTAAAATTCACCTCGATAGAAAATAACGACCCTAGATCTCCACGGAGGATACTGTAGAAAAGCCTTCGACAGGAAACGCATTCCTCTTGAGGAATACGCATCCTGTCGAAGTCTGGATATCTACTCACTGAGCAACAGCTCTTTAGATGTTGCTGAATGAGTTGGCAGAATCAACGAGCTCTTAGTTCGTCACCCATAATTATATTTTTTTTATAAATGTATCTATATATGTATATGTGTGTGAGTATATATATTTATGTGTGTATATGGATATATTACTTCGTATATTTGTCTATTCGAAGGACCAATAGTGGTCACTGAATAAGGATTCCATCATTCATCCCCATAACTGCACCTACCTCATTCTTTCTCTGCATCGCCCAATCGGTCGAGAATGCCGTAGGCATTAATTCCGCTGATATATATATTTGGGCATGAAGTCATAAATAAAAAGCAGTTTGAAATTGCACATTAGTATTAAAGAAAATTTAATTGTAACTTACGATGCAAATAAATTAATTTGATACAGCGGCCCTGTAAACACTGAAAGCTTATATTCTAGTGAACATTTTAGCATGCGTACCTTCAGTTGTAATTCTTTCTCAATAGTAACGGCCCGGACTATGTTAACAGCCGTGTAGCTGAAGCTTAACATGATGAACATTGGGAACATTAATTGTAGTAAATCCACGGCTAAGTCTTCGAGATAAGGTGGATGCGGATACCTCTGGAGTTTAACCCTAAATGAGCTCAAGTCTTGTCCCGTCACTCTGGATACCAATTCAATTGAAATGGCGTGCTGTAACGCTATGAAGATTTCGTTCACGTAACCTGCGAGATTAGTAAGACACCATTGTCGTAACTCAAATCTGTTGTAATAAAGAACAACATACAACACACTATTTACACTTATTTAATACATATATAATACATGAGTATAAAGTAAAATATCCTTGCATATTATCAGGACCACAGATAGGATAGATAGGGTAATCTGTGATCAGGGCCCATAAATAATAAAAACTGTTCTAAATTTTTCAACTTCTATTTAAATGGCCATGTCCAATCATCCTATCGCCTAGAATGTAATGAGCCAAAAAAGGTAACAATAAAAATATTACTGCAGTTAATTCCAGGATTAGATTGTCTAATTTCGACAGTTAAACAACTTCCACTTCCACACAAAATCTGTATTATTATCGCTATAAATATGTACATTACCTGGGTCATTGCCTCCTTCATACGAAAATGGAAACCTGGGACCTGGCGATTCAAAGTTAGGGAAAACCCTATGAGTTCGCCAATTCCTTGCACCTCTCTGGTAAAATGAATTCAATCGGGGTCTACTCGGAAACCGTAGAGCATATGATAAGTCCATTGTTGGCAACTGCGTCGCGCCTGCAATGTTTAATATTTATTAGAAAGTCTAAATGGGCACCATTATTAAAATATCTATTCTTTAATAATATAATATTCATCGACTTGCGTACCTATTCATTTCATAAGATATTTGCTATATTAGGACTTAGATGTTTATAATAAAGTCTAATTCAATGCAGCAACAATAATATACATTTTGGCATAACAAATAAGAAGGTCGATTATTTATGTGGAATATATAAGAATACTCAAACGCATAGATCTAAAAGATATTTCGTTTTATTATAACAATTCATATTAAAGTGACATTTTACAATACAGAATATGTCATAATGCTATCTTGTAACTCAGTTAATTTGTTGTATTTTATTATGTTAAATATATAATTAATTATTCACCCTGTGTATTAAAGGATTCTTCGTTAGAATAATTCCAACAGTAGCAAATAGTATTAGGATGTTATAATTATTAGAATTAAAACCAAAAATCTTTCCCTAATCTAACTTCTATATCTGAACTTGAATTAGCCTTTAATTGTGAAGTAGTATAGGTATTTGTCGATACTAACCATAGAGTTGGTCATCAAACTCCACAGCGGCAAGAACAATGCGAGTGGTCTCTTCTTTTCCATAGAGCCCTCTTAACTGATCACTATTATTGAAAGCATGTACCGTAGTCAAATTTCTAATTACCAAGTTAATAATTTGCGGAGTTAACTGAGATATTAAATCTGGCGGTATGGCAGGAAAATTTGGGAAATTTTCTTCAAGCATTTCGATAACTCCAGGTATTAAATCTTGGTTCTCTATAACTATCTTAATTACAGCTGATAATACTACATCTTCTAATACAGCACTCGTTGGCGAATATGCAATTGATAGTTGTGACACATTCATGCCAACCCTGAAACAAAAAAACATATAATTTTAAAAACTCGGTTTCTGTGGTGACAAATACGAAAGAAATATAACTGAAAAGAGAACTTCCACCTTTTTCAAAGTCACTTAAAAACTGAGTAATGTGAAAACTGATTACTTTGAGCTGAGGTCTAATGATGATAGGAGATATGTGTATGTGTCAATCCAGTGATGAAAATGACTCACGCTCAATACGGACAAGTCGAAAAGAATATAGATTCGTGACAATGATAATTCATTCAAGGGTTCATCAACACACTATCCCTGGGACTACCAGTATAACTAGCAGCATAATGTTAACGGAATCTGGAAATTGTCGCATTTTGAAGCATAAGAAAATGAAACACACCTTTCCTAACGTTCTCATTCGTATTTAATCAGTACCTAAAAAGAATTATTAAGAATAGAATAGAATTATTATTATTAGATCTGGGAGAAAGAAAAACTTTCTTTAAGCTGTACACTTTGCCTGATAATGCTCTCTCCATGAACAGTTCTTCTGGACTACATCTCATTACACTTTGCTTAATTTCGATCTGACGACCATTCTTCCTCATGAAGTCTAGGCCAAGGATGCTATCGTCAACTATATCAGCCACGATGACGTTATCCAGATAAAATTAGTTGATCAACTTTAACTCCACCCTCTGTTTGCCACGGACGAGTATGCGCTGACCAGTGGTACGAGATCTATTCGCTCACGGTTAAATGTGATGACCCTCAGAAACTGATTTGGAAGTTAAGAACGGACAACTGTGCGAGAAGCTCCTGTATCAATCGTCAGCTTACATGGCGTTCCGTTGATTTCGCCTCTGATAACCAGGCTGTTCCCATCATGAGTTTGCGAGATTGAAATCCTTGGGGCTCTTTGAACACCAGCCAGCACTCGCCTCGCAGTCCTGGCGTTTACTCGTTTCCCTGCTGCTGCTGGACAGTGCCATTAGCCGCCCTAATCTCCTGAGGCCGCTCGTCTTCACTTCCTATGGGGCAGCTAGACCGAAGATAACCCTTTTCGCCACAGGCGTAACATCTAGGGCTATACCTCTTAAAACGGTCCCGTACAGGTGACGCCACAATCTCCCAGACGTGATGAGATCGATGGTCTTGTCTCACGGCTTCTACCTCCAAAGCATGGGCTAGGGCGTCCTTGAGAGTTTCACGGTGCCCAAGCCTCATAGGTGACGCTCACCTGGAGCAAGAAGCATATCTTGCCTCAAATGCTTCCAGCAGTTGCTCATACGTTACCTGCTTACCGAGGGCTTCGAGGACGGTTAAGGCCTGATCCCGGAGACCCAAGGTAAGCGCAGTCATAGCCTGGGCCTTAGTCCAGCCATTCGCCATCATAACAGCCTCAAACTGGATTTGTAGGCGGACCACGAAGATGTTCCATCAAATGGTGGCACTTTGAACCCCCGCACCGAAGGAGCAGTAGTTACCGTAGTCGCCTACCCGTTTCCAATTGTGAGGTAACTGTGAACTAAGGCCTTCTTCACGTCTGCAATCTGGGTTTCGGCTTCAGTGAGACGGTTCTCGTGTTGAAGAACCTAATCCTTCACTAACTTGAGTTCTTTGCCTAAGGTCTCATGAATGCCTTTTAACAAAAGCATCTGCTCCACCTGACGGCGGGCCTGCTCCTTCTGTCGGCGGGCCTCCTCCTCCTTGCTGCGCTGCAGCTTTTCTTCCAAGCGGCAGGCCTGCTGGCTGCTGACCCTACAATGTAGACAGTTGTGCACGTCCAAATTGCCTCTGGTCAGCCTCTTGCTGGCGCTGAATTCTCGTACGGATGTCTTCCGTGTCTTCTTTGGGTAAAACCGGCATACTTTTATCCCACTTCTGACACCAAATTGTTACGAGCGGAGTATATAATAAATAAAAGTTGTCGGTTTAATTACTTTATTGCACTTTATTTACAACCACTCACTATAATAAACTAGAAATCATTATATATCTCGTTAGTCGCACTAGAAATTGACTCTGATGTTAATTCGCTGTGTCGTAAAATAATACTGTCTCGAACGGCCGCTTTTATAGCGCTAACGAATTTTACTAGAAAGATCCCTAGTATTCGATAGTCCGTTCCAGACAAACAAGAATATTCCAGAATCAGTCATGCGTTACTTGCAGCGCCATCTAGCGCTGTAAGGATCAGAACTAATATAAACCACAATCTTAATAGATGTACTTTACTCGATACTAGATGGCGCTGTCCTCCACATTCCATACAATCGAACCATTTAATCCTATGGCGCAACAATAATAAGGGATAATATAATATGTGTTAATTAAAATATAATATGTGTTAGGAAAATGACTAACGCTCAATACAGATAAGTCGGAAGGAATATGGGTTCGTGATAAGGATGATTCATTCAATATCTTTAGTTTTTTGTTTATGACGCTTATTACATGAATCGATGTTACCATAACTAACATCTTTTTAGTCATATCGTTCTCATATCTATATAGTTAGTGTAGTATATAGTGTGTAGTATCTAGTATACATAATATGCGTATATTTTGTATACTTAACATGTTAATTTGTATCATCTGCTGACGCATCCTATTTAACATTACGTAAATTGCTAAATGTATATATTCGTTATATGTACCAAATGTATATTATATTACTTAATTATATTCAATATAGTACTGTGACTGACAATAATTTTCAAAATGAAATCTTTACTACACGCATCTCTTTTCTGAAAATATTTAAAACGCATGACCTATAATAAAATGGGAAAAATAAAGACTTTACATGATGTTAAACGTACAGTTTGAGGACTTGGACTTTCTAGCAACATCCAATACTATGTATTCGACCCTGACCTACTAGCTTATTCTCCCAAATTACCCGTATGCCCAAAATATTTCTTTAGTTCCAACATCGTTTTCCTTTCATTATACTTACTCTCAGTTTTATCATTTAGCTCTTAAAGTACCCAACGGTACGGTACGTAGTACGGTAATAGGCTTGACTACTCCATAGCAGGCCTAAAATATTTAATACTCCTCTGTGTACCTCTTCGAGGATTTAAACATAGAGTAAAAGTGACTATATCATAGAACGTTGATTAAAGGAATACCTCGAAGGCCTTATTTTGGTGACTGGGTGGAAAATACCCTTGGATATCCAGCTCCCAGGGGATGCCATCGCAGCTATGCAGAAGCTAGACTTAACTGTGTTTAAATAAAAAACCACCCTAACGGCCGGCTTAGGCGCCCTATTCTGAGTCCTCCTCAGAATAGAGCGCCTAAGGCCGGCCGTACCATGTGATTTTAAAGTCCTCCTCTAATGACGTCGCGCTTTACAAACCCTATCCTGAGGGAAGATAACAAGGCAATAAATAGGTTTCTTTCTCAATGAATTACGCAACGCATGAAGTTCGCCAAATGTTGTCAGATCATGAAATTTTGAAGTTTAATCTTAAACGATGTAAAAACTAACGTGGAGCGTAAGTGAAACCTGGATTGAGTTTTGAATCAAAATTCAATCCAGGTAGAACATGTGTCTAATCAAAATTTTTGATTAGACACGTTCTTTTTAAGATACGATGCAATATAAATACCTACACGAAAAAATATAAATCAGAAAAATAGATGGTATGTAGACCTGGCAGATGCCCATGTCTAATAGATGTCGAATAATAAAGTGGATATTGGTGTCTAAGTAAAAAATCCTTTAAAACAAAAAGCTGAACCGACTTCAAACATTACTAACAAAGAGCACTAAAAATGAAAAAATAATTACAAATCTAATCGAAGAAACTATAATAAGTGCGACCCTCAATGTGACAGGTAACATTATAATAGCAGTAGATACCGTCTAGTCTTATGTCCGTTACTTTATCTGATAAGGTAGTAAGATTTAAAATTTAAACCCAAAAAAACTTATACCTAATACAAAACTAATTCAAAAGTAACATAGTGAGAAAACCTCCTAAATAACATTAAATATGACAAAATATTTAATTTTTTTTCTTTCTTTCTTTCTGAATACAAATAAACAGACAAATTTTAAAATTAAAAAAAAGAAAAACAATAATAAATGAGAACCTTAAAGAACTTTTTGCAAGTGTCTTTTAAATCGGGGTAAGGATTCGCAAATATCGATATCATGAGCTTTTGATAAAGTGTTGTACAGCCTACAAATCCTCGGCACAGCAGCGTAATGACCCAGATTAGTTCTCGAAAATGGAATTTCAAATAAATTATAATTGCTTTTTCTTGGAAGACGCAAAGGTATTTTTATGCTTAAGGCGCTTAGTAACTCACTACAGTCCGTGGAACCACTTAGTATTTTATGTAGAAACTAGCTGAACCGCGCAACTTCGTCTGCGTCTCTCAATAGTAGTAAATTTTCTCCGTTTTGAAACATTCTTCATTGGTGCTCCGCTCCTATTGGTCTTAGCGTGATGATATATAGCCTATAGCCTTCCTCGATAAATGGGCTATCTAACACTGAAAGAATTTTTCAAATCGGACCAGTAGTTCCTGAGATTAGCGCGTTCAAACAAACAAACAAACAAACAAACAAACTCTTCCGCTTTATAATATTAGTACGAGGGGTGATCAATAAGTAATGATAATCGAGTATTTCTAGAACGCACAAAAACCCAAATTATTTTTTTTCTGCTTGCTTATATATCCACTACTTCAGCTTCAAAAAAATGTATAAATAGGACACCATTACCGGGAGATACATTCATTTGAATACGAACTGCCGAAGAGAAAACATCAAAATGGAGAAAAATGAAATAAGAGCTGTCATCAATTACCTCTGCCTGAAAAAAATGTCTACCAAAAACATACACAGCGACTTAGAGGAAACATTGGGGGAGTCTGCTCCTCCATATTCCACAGTCGCACGCTGGGCAAAGGAATTTAAGCTGGGCAGAACCTCCACTGAAGATGAACATCGCGAGGGACGCCCTTCCACGTCCCTTACTGGAGAAAATCAAAAAAGTGGAAGATATCGTGTTGGCC